AAAAAAGTTTAACGGAGGACAGTCATTGGCTGTCTATAATGTCGTGACAGGTGACGAAACCTGGGTGTACCTGGCTTTGAACCCGAAAGAAAAATCGGCAAATCAGGACAGCACTACTACAGTATCGCTTGAAGATCAAAGGACAGTGACCGCAGATTAGGCCGTCAACACTTGCTTGCAAAGAGTCTTAAAAAAAGTTACCGATAAGCGTCCTGGAAGCAATGCCCTCCTTTACCACGATAACGCATCCTCACATTCCGCTAAGGTAACAGGAGCCTATTTGAAGGCTTCAAATTTGAAACTGGTGACGCATCTGCCTTATAGCTCGGAGCTCGCACTCGGCGACTTCTTTTTGTTTCCAAAATTTAAAGACAAACTTAGAAGCACACGTTTTACGAGCCCTGAATCGGCGGTAAATGCGTTCCACGAAGCCATTGAAGAGGTCCCTAAGGAAGACTGGTCCGACTGCTTTGTACACTGGTTTCAGCGAATGCAAAAATGCATTAATTGCGATTGAATATACTTTGAAAAACAATAAATGTATCGTAAGTCTTATATCTAGTCTTATTTATTAGAATCCAGAAATTTTCTGTATACCCTAAGTACTAATAAAAATATTTTGAATTATGACACGATCTAAGCTAGCTTGTGGGGAATGACTGCCTTAGGGCGATGAAAATATACTTCTTTACCACTGTTGACAGATAGATTACCGAAGCCCCCCTCCCCAAAGTCTGGAAGGTGCGTGCTCAAAAGCCAGGAACTCACTTGTGACTTTTGAGTTGCAGGACAGGTGTTCATGGGCGGAGGTTGTTTCTTACTTCTTGTTGGTGACGAACCGTCAACTCTTTTGTCTGCTGTATCGTAAAAGAAGAACAAAAAAATTGAATGTAAAAAGAAATCAATAATTTATAAGAATTCTAAATGTACTCTATTCTGATCTATTTTATATTTTTTTCAGAAAATTAAACAGACTATAAAAGGTTTCGGTAACATTTTCCCATTTTCCACATCTCTATAGTCTATTCATAAATTTTTGTTTACAAATTAAATAAATAGGTATGTAATAAACAAACTACACATAAAAATTACAAGGCAAATCGCAAGTTAACAATTGTTACTTGTACTTTCCAGTCCAAATCTCATGAATGCGTTCTTAATTCCAATTACATTTATGTATTTATTCACCGAGATTTTTGCAGTGCTCTCGTAACGAGCCACGTTTTTATAAGTCTGTCTTACTTTGTGACGATGCACTCAAAGGTATAATCACTTATGATAGCTTATTTTGGCCAGTCCTTCTTTCGCCATATTTGTGTAATAAGTTTCGAGTGAAATATCAGAAGTTTTTATGAGGTAATTATTAGCATATTTTATGACGGTAGGGGTCCTCGAGCGGCTCGGCGCTCGGCTGGCCTCCGGGCGGTCCCGCCGGGCCGTGTCCCGCTGCGCTCATAGATAAACATGTCGGTGCTTCCGAATACTTGCGCCATGCACACTCGTATTGATTTTGTTTTTTTGTAACAAGGAATATTTGTAGTCGACGACAATATCATTTGTATATTGTCTCTGGGAAAAGGCAAATAATTGGAACGAAACGAGTTTTCTTTTATGAAATCAATCTGAAAGTAATTGCCGTTGGATGCGGGCAGTACAGAATGGGTTGTTGTGGAGAGTTTTAAGGCCTATGTCCAGCAGTGGACGTCTTTCGGCGAGATGATGGTGCAAGTAATGGGTTACTGGTGCCAGTAAATACTTATTCACAATACTAAGGGTAATATTTAACTTTATCGCGAGTTAACGACAGGGAACATTGCAAGTAGGTAGTGCTGTTTCGGTACGGCTGTGATTTCCAGTAGACTAGATTGATGCCGGCGATTTATATAAGACTGCAGACAGCACATGCTGCAGTTAAAGATCTTAGATCTTTGTGCGAATCGACCCTTTTTAAAATTGATATTTTTAGTGGTGTGATTTGTAGTGTCCGTGTGGTGACGGATTAAGAATACAGAGTCAATCCCGTGGGTGTCGTATGAGGCGACTAAGGGAGCAAACTACGCAGGACAACAGTACTGCAGAGAGAAGGAAAACTTGATGCAAACCCTATACCTACCCGTCTGGCCTGCGTGATATAGTAGGCCAAAACCTCCTTTCTAAGGAGAGGCTTATGTCCAGCAGTGGACTAGTAAAGCCTGTTGATGATGATGATGATTTTTAGTAGTCGATTCGCACAAACTGAATTTATTAGTGTGCGCATCGATACCTTTTGAAAAATGTAGTGGCGAATTGCACACATTTTCTTAAATGAAATTTATTCATGCAAATAATATAGTAGCGCATAAAAATGGTGCATGTAATTAAAACAAGGGCAACAAATAATCAACAAAATATATATTTGTGGCAAATATTTTTAATCAACAATAATTAAAAAATAATAATCCTTAATTAAATTTTCTATCCATACTCTTTAAGAAAAAAATCAGTCAAAATTACTGTTGACCGCAACGTTATATGTCGTCACTGTTTTAATCTAACCTAACCCAAATTTAACTTTACCGTATGTTAGTCCGTGAAGCCATTAGTATGCAGCATACCTATGCAGTCTGCAGATTACCTTGTTAATGTAAGTACTGAAATAATTTGTTACACTTTATCGGACTCGACCAGATAATCTACCGGCTGGCATTGTTGAACTCCATGACTGGCGATTACTACTTAACATCAGGTGGGCCGCTGGCTCAACATTGGCAATGAAAAAAAATTGTTGAATATAACCTGTGTGCATACCTGTTATTACATACTTTTAGTTTTTACATTTTTCTAGAGGTATCGACGCGCACAATAATAAATTCAGTTTGTGCGAATCGACTACTAAAAAGTATTAATTTTAAAAAAGGTCGAATCGACCACTAAGCCCAGAAAATGTTAACAGAGTTTTTTCATATAATTATTTTTAAGAGCTTACGTCACTTGTGATTGCTCTGCTGCGGTCTACCGTTTAAATATTTAATCAGACAGGATGGGGTCTTACCAGCATGCTAGTATCTACTCTTTAGACAATGTATGCTAAAATGTCATGTTGACCACTTATAAGAGCTATGACTGCGCATTAAACGTTGTCGTCGTTGTTGTATTGAATATGCCCATAATATATGTCATGCATATGCAATAGGTATAAAATCTATGCATAGTGAAGAGATGCCTGCTCTTAGGGTGATCATTCGGAGTAAACACATGTTTATGAGTTTTCTAAGTACGATAAAATTCGTGAACAATTGACCACTATTAATCCGTGCACATATGCATGCATGCATGTATGTATAGTTTAGGTGCGTGAGCGCATCGCGGCGGTGCTGTGCGGTGCAGATAAACTATAGCTTTAATTACTACTAAACACAATTAAACGCTGAGAGCATGACTCGCGCACGGACATACCACGTAACAGGGACGTCTCACAACATTTCATGTTTAATATTGATTGGGCAATGAAATGCAGAGATTCTTTTTTTAATGTTAACGGAACGAATACCTATTACAGCGTGATTTGGACGAATACATTTGCTATAATTATGTTCGTTATATTACATGAAAGGATATAGTTGAACATTTATTTTACTCTAATGACTAAGCTTTCTCTGTAAACACACAAAGTCAAGAAGTTATTTGTGTATGTACAAGTTACGGATCTATGCATAGAATTGATGGTTTTTATCTATTTCTTCCTTTTAACAGAAATCACTTTAAGTGAGTTTGTAGGTTTAGGTATAGTTCCTTGGCCCATAATTCAGTCAAGACTAAAGAGATTGAGTGTTGGAAAAGTTCTTCTTGTATGGAAAACTGAGTCAAGTAAAGTCTTTACGTGCACCCGTAACCGCTAGGTGTGAATAGCGCAATATTCTTCTAACGCATTGTATTTACTTTACACAGCAATAAGGCTTCTTATTTTATAATCTATCTAAATATTAACTTATTACTTGGATTACATCATTGATACCAACTATCTCATTAAACATCTGTACGAATGTTAAAAGTATAGTGCTTTAATAAATAAATTAAATTTAAATATTTAAGAAAAAGTTTACCGTTTTTTTGCTGATAGGTAAAATTAAAGTGATTTTTTTCCACGTAGGTATTTAAAATTAAAGATAAATTTCATAATGTGCAGACAATTAAAACATATTATGAAGCTAAAATATGTTGAACGAATCGAGTTGAGTTACGTTCTTAGTCTATCTATATCCAAATTCCTTTTAGCGATTTATGATCGTTGAGATGCGCACGCGCAATTTCTGAGAATTCCCTTTCCGATTCGCTCTGTGCCGAACGGAACGCACTGTAGCTACGCTAGTTTATTTCATTACCTTAAGCATTTTATTCGAAACTGACTTGATTTATATCGATAATTACATACAAAATTTTATTTGTTTATTATACTTATGCTATATCGTGGCAAAGGGTTATTTTCTAAGACAGGTTCATATTTATTGAGAAGTAAGCAGAAAATTCAGTGTGGTGGATTAAGAATACGGAGTATCACCACCCCTATTCATCCCATGGGTGCTGTAAGAACCGACTGAAGAACCAGCCTACGCAGGACAACAGCATTGCAAAGAAGGAAAACTCGACAAAAACCCTATACCAACCCGTCTGGCAATGGCCCGCGTGGTATAGTAGGCCAAAACCACCTTTCTAAGGACCCATGTTCAGTAGTGGACTATTAAAGGCTCTTGATGTGATGAAGGAAAAAATTAGGAGATATTAAGAGGGTTAAATGTAGTTAACAAGAGAAGGCAATGGAAGATTTTCAATGCCTCTTGCATTGATTAAATGGATAGATTGAGGAGAGGAAGTAAACCCAAATAGCTTGTAGACGGGAAACCTGAGCCCTCTTGCCAAAATAACGACATGATATATCCTCTAAATAAAGTGTGCGATTACTATTGTAGATGTGTAATGCTTACCATACTAATGATTGATCATTTGGCTAGTATCGTGCGAAATTACGCTAAGTGTGCCGGTGTGTGTGATGCGGCGGGCGCTGCGCTCGAGTCGGTGGCGGCGGCTTTGTGCGCCACCGCAGACTTGTCGCCGACCCCGCCGAACGCGCTCCACGAATCTCTAATGAGCTGCGGACCCGACAGGGCTACCACACGACATCTAGGAACTATGCTGTCTTTTAAACCGGAATTTAGTTTTCAAAAATGGTTATCAGTACCCAGTGTTTTATGTAAAACAGTTTGAATCGCAGCATTTTGGTCTTAAAAATTGTCAAAGTGCAGGTGTTTAAACGTTCATGTCAAATAGCACTGTTAACGGGTCTCAATAAAATTATATGGCTTCGAAATTAAGAGCACTCATTAGCGTCGCGATCTTTGAAGTGCAGCTGATATGTAGTTGAGAGGAATGAGAGATGAGTTTAATTACTAAAGTCATGTTACATTCCCGGTCTAGGATAATATTTATTTGACGGGAGCGGGCGGCCCTGGGCCTTTACGGCGCCGCCGTCACCTGTCATCCATCAGTCGGCGACAACGCGCATGCGCATACCGGCCGCGACGCAGATTGCCCCGCGCGCCCACTACCGCCCTCTACATTGCGGATTCAAATTTAACGGTACAAAGTTTGCGGAACGCAACAAAACAGTAGCGAGACGCATTCCGATTTATATCGAGTTAGACTAGTTCTGACGGCCCTGACAAAACGGGATACAACACGATACCCAGGTCGGATGTTTAGGTTAATTTCAAGCTATCATTCTGGAATTCATTATACGAAATATAAATAAACAATTTAATTTTATGACCTGTAAAGATGACAGTATCTGCTAATCCTGCAAGCATGAAATCAAAGCCCTGTCTTTTAGATCATTTTAAATATTGATTTTTACATAATTTAAGTCAACAAAATGTATGTATAATATGAACAAGGGAATGTCTCGAATAAGAAAGGTGCTCTGAGTCACAAATGAGTAGAAACCGTGTTTAAAGTCGGGGATATGACTCCGTACGCAGTACACTCCCAAAATGTATTACTTTTTTAAAAGCTCTGGCTTGAGTACTGTGGAGGAATGAATGTCATGTCCCGCCAACACAAAGGGCCGACTAGGCGAAGTGCTCATGCCTAGCGGTTCGCAGCCCAACGAATGATGTTAGGAAGTTTTATATATGCTAATCGGCGTGAGTATTCCTTATATCGCGATACAGGATTAGCAGTTACTCCGTAGTTCGGTGTATCTTCGTTAGGTGGCGTTGTAACAGGTATCTTCGTTTGTGTGGAAGTCGCCACAAGTACTGAAACCCTCAATGCGTAGTCACAGCTTTTACCACGTGACCGTAGTTACTGGTAGACGTTACGAACGTTTACAAAGTACTTGTCGTGTTTATCTTTTAGTTGGATATAGGAGAGATCGATTCTCCTAGAAAAATATAAATTACTCATGTAACCATACTTATATAATAATAGTAAAGAGTTTTTTTCATTGGCTATTTATTTAAACACCTTAATCTCTGGAAATACGAGTTAGATTTGATGTTTTTGCGTTGAATTTAACTTTCATGGAGGATTACATTATAGACTAAGTGACGCTACGCCTCTTAGGATCAAAACGGTGACCATAAAAGCAGGAGAAACAGCTTGTATGTAGGTAATATCTAGATGGTATAGCTCATATCTCTTTATTTTATATCGTCCTTGGTCTGTCCTCATACTGATAATTTAAAATTTGTGATCCGTTACTGTGTGCTATGAATGAAAAGATAAGGAAGGAACGAAAACAACGCAACAAGCGATAACACAGCCCAACTTCATTAGACTAAATTCTAACTAGATTCGAACTAGACTAAATTCATTGTTCATTCTCTATGGTGTATTACAAAGAGTATTCTATTTATTTATGTATGTTTGTAAAACCTTATGTGATGTCAGTGTGTGTCCAGTATAATCTTAAAAGGCATAAAATATTTCTCGGTGAAAATAGACTCGGTTACGTCACATTCACATCACGAGAATCAGGGTGTTTTTATTTATGATAATAATAATAATAACAAGATTGTGCTCATCATACAATACGATTTGCGGCTTTGCAGCCAGGGTCACTAATCACTAGACTTGTTTTATTTCATATACATACCGTCACAGCTTTAGACCATAGTTCGCTGTCGTCAAACCCAAAATTTCACCCTCCTTAAAGATATTTGTGTCATATCTAATTTTAAAACAATGCACTTATTGACAAAATACGTAGGATAGTCTTGTTACAATACTTACCTACAATTGTCATCAAGGCTATCGCTATCGCCTTCAATTGAATCTTGGTACTGAGGATCTAAAACGTCGCGTGAGCCTCCGTCAAGGTCGCAGTTATCCTCTAACATCAATATGCCGTCCTACTCGCGATCCCAATTGCCTGAATTAGCATACTTAAACTGAGGCGCTGCCGAACTCGCTTGTATCACTACCATCAAAGAAAACGCCGATAACTAATAAAAATTAGTCTAAATTCCATGAGAATACAATTCAAATTTATTCAGCAGCGATGTAGGTGTTTCCTAATGGGACGTTTGAATATGAAAATTTTAAATTAAATTCTATTCTCTCTTAATAAGGATGATTTTGGTATGGGTTTGGATGAGTTTAAAAGTGTACATATTAGGATGATCAGAGTTTGAACTGTGACCCGCTGGTAATCAACACAAATTGATGGCGGAGGCAAATTTTTCTAGTGTTTATGCGGCATGATCTTAGAATGAGTCGCTCAAATGGTGTTTGTTCCAAGTAGGAATGTTCGCCCGGAATTATGTGGGTTGCGCTCAATACTGATCTATAACAAAACATTGATTGTCTGACGCGAATTGTTACATTATTTTGTATAATCTCGTTTTTTATAAATAAATCAGTTTTAAGACTCGATAAACGATTGATCCTTTCTAAGGAGATGCCCATGTTCAGCAGTGGACTATTAAAGGCTGTTGATGAAACGATTGAGACACCTTTTAAAATACGGGCCTCATACTTAAACTGATACTTGAGACGTCTTTTGCAATAAGGGCTCTCACAATGTCCTGGCGGATATCGATGCGAGGGTATATGACCAGACTCGCGCGATCCGCCGGGGTGAGAACGGGGAAGACTGCCCCCTGAACGCGAAGTCCTGGTCGACCAAATCGGACGAGACCTGTCCCCACCAGCAATCATTGCTGCCATGGTGGCGGGTGAGGAGGGATGGGGCGCAGTGGTCTCTTTCTGTGAAGTGTAATGCTCTAGAAAGAGACCGCTGAACAGGATCGGGAGACGGCCGATCCCGACCGTAGAGGACGTCGGCGACGATAAAGGGGCTTTACAGACAAACGATCGGACAGACAGACGGACAACAAAGTGATTAGGGTTAGTGATAAGGGTTCCGTTTCTTTCTTCTGAGGTACGGAACCCTAAAAGTAATGAAATTTATTCAGTTTACATTCACAACCTCATTGATGGGACATTAAAGTACCTACCTACTATATGTGTAGAAGGTTCGAAACTATAACAAGAAAACAGTTTTTTTGCAAAGTGTACCTAAATATCTTTGAAGAAATTACCTACTACTACTAGAAGGAAAAACATCAAAGCATTATATAATTTAATCAAATTCGATTGCGATATTTCCCTTAATTAATACGTAACCTCGACAGTTAAAAAGTCCAGTATTATGGCAATTTACACATTTCGGAATAGGTAGGTCTATAAAGTACGATATCTATTTGGTTTTCTGACTTTTCTATGAAATTACACACAACGGTATAACCTATTGTATTTTTATTTTTATTTTCAGCACGTCTCATACCTAGATAAACTTTGAGTTATCCAAATTTCACATTACTCCGTTCGCAAAATTTTCGTGCCAATGCTTATAAATAATTCCCTATTCGTGTTAATTTTAGACATACATATAGATTAGTATACCGACATAAAGTAGTGTAGCAAGTCCGTGATATTTAAATTATAGATAAGAACTTACAATAGCTGAGTGAAAAATTAATAGTTTGAGCGGAGATCAAAATACTGTATTGTTTTGCCGGTAGATGAATAGAGTACGTTTATGAAGTTCTCAGTTAGTTATTGGTGTAAAATGGCTGAAGGCGTCGGTGCAGGCGTGGCTTTGTGGGAATACTGCCGACATACATGCTCCCACACACGCAATCTACTCTACGGACTCTAGCTACACACGATTATCAATCAATATACTCAAGAAAAAAGTAGTTTAAAAACAAAAATAGGGCCACGGATCAAATAGCACGCTGAAATTACAAAACTACATTCTAGCTAACGAATCTTTGGGCCAACACCAACCTAAAGAATGCCTAAAGATCAATGGGCAAGAAGAGTCTTGGAATGAAGACCATGGTTCAACGCGAGAACGAGAAGCCACCACCAAGACGTTGGATTGACGACATGCGGGTACATGCAGCACATGACTGAATGACCAAGGCCGCTGACAGAAAGGCTCCAAAGAATATTTTGAGAAGTCTATGTACAGAAGTGTACGAAAAAGGCAGAGCAAACAGTTAGAGCTCGGATTCCCGACAACAGCTAGTTTGAGTTATAGGTACGCGATCCTAAATTTCTCGAGCTATTCTTTATATTATACATTCCATCAATTTTCTACCATTATCTTCCATTCTTGTCTATCTTTTCTTTGAATTTACTCCCAATTTTTTCCATCTGATTCCTAGAACGCCCAGTTAATAGCAATAGCTTTGCCTTCAATTACGGCATGTGAGACTTAAAAATAAAAAGTTGTATGTCGGCGTAAGTGCATAGCCGTGGTCACACCACATTGAAAAAATGAACATAAAAAAATATTACTTTTATTTATTATCAGAATCTACTTAATTATGAGCTCATTATTTTATAGATCCAGATCCTGTGCTAGCAATATGTCCGGTGCCCTTTACACCTCAATAATGAACACATTATAACTTACACCACTTTTTGTGTGAATATCGACGTCGACTACTTTCTCTTAATTAATGATAATTTAAAACTGTTAACTGTACTAGTAATGTCTATAATTAGCCTTAGAGCTGGGGAAGTGTCGCGCGTGGTCGGTGAACCACAACCTTTAGCGCACAAGGACGAAGAAAGGATGCATAAAAAATGCGCTTTCTTTTTGCTATGAATTAAAAGGTTGTTTTAATAGCATTTTTAACTTACTGACACTGTATATAACTACAGTTTACTACACTTTGCGATCTCCTTTAGATTACATGCTTTTAGACCATAATCTGCAGTATTACTTATAGACTTCGGTAGGACAGCTATATTATAGGTAATGAGCAAAGGTGTTTATTTTTATACAGAATTGTATAATCGATTTAATATGGTATAAATATCAACATTCTATTTATGCAGCAGCTGTCGCTGTAACATTGACCTTTAGTAACGATTTTGACCTGCCCCTTGTGAATTTGTGATATTTGTGCAGATTTTGTTACACTGTGTGTATTCTTGTTGTTTAAAATAATGTTTGCTAATAGTAGACATTACACTCTTCTATAATAAAAGACTAAGAAAACATTTGTTTTATTAGCGCTTTATACAAGATAAGTAGATAATTTACTACTAATTCTAAACTAATTTCTTGGTGTAAGTTTAGACGACCTAATGGCGTAGTGGTTTGTGTAACGGACTGCTATTCCAAAGGTCGCGGGTTCGATGCCCGCTCAAGTCAAAGATTTGTGTGCATGAACATTTAATGTTTGATTTGGTCTGGGTGTTTCCATGTATAATAAGTGTGTATTTACAAAAAAAAAGTATATGTGTATTTATATCAGTTGTCTAGTACCCATAGTACAAGCTCAGCTTAGTTTGGGACTAGATGGCGTTGTGTGAATGTGGTACAATATTATTTATTATTATTAATTTGAGGTGTATTTTGTAAAACATTTTAAACTCTAGAAGAAAATGCCCCTTTGTTTGTAATCTGATTAAAATATTTAAAATATTTACAGTATACCTAACATTCAGCTGTTTGTTTTTAAATTGTTATTTGGTAACTCTTTTAATTATCTTAGAACAAATTATTGCACGTTTTGGCATTATAGGGCGAATACATATAGCGGTCGTGGGAGAGCCATACTTCAGTACGCATGTGGTCTCATACAAAACCGAAGTTAAGCAATTCCTTTATTGCTTTTCACAGAGTAAGTTAGCATACCGGAGCTCTAAAAGCCCCTTATTTGAGAGGGAGGGGAAATTCTAAGGGGGGCAACATATTAGTGACTATGGAATCGCAGGTGTCTATGAGGTGTGGTAGTCACTTACCATCAGTTGACGCGTCTGTTTGGTGGCCCCCCATATCATCTATACAAGTAAATAAAATTAAAGTGTCTGTTTGTAATGTCAAACTAATAGGTTTTTTTCATGCTAACACGGTTACTTGCAGGTACCTATGCCTAAAAAGCAGTTTAAATCTTTTTGTCTTTCTGTCTGTCTGTTTGTTCCGGGTAATCTTCTGAACGGCTGGACGGATTTGAATAGATAATATTTTACTACTAGGTAGCTGTTTATATAAGGAATAACTTAGGCTATTGTTCCTCTCAGAAAAACCCTTAAGAATTGCCTGGTACGGTAATCGAAGCCACTAAGGCAGCGCTTTTCAAATTCCACACGAACGAAGTCGGTACCAGCTAGTATATATATAAGAATTAAAAGGAAATCTAAACAAAAAGCATGTAAAGAAATTGGAAATCTATGGAACGAAATATGATAAGAATCCACAGGACTAGACGTGTTGGCGGTTATCAAAGTAATCACTCACACAATTACGGTATTCACGATATAATAAAGAAAAATAAAAGCTTTTTTACAACTTTAAGGACAATTTATTTTACTTCTATTTAAAATTTTACTTGAACGTATCGAAAGAAATAATCTTAAACACAACTATGTTGCTTGAGCATTCAGAATAATCGACCTAATTAGGAATATTTGAAGTCAGTTAAACTTAAATTGTGAAATTAATTTAAATAACCAATTTGCTAAACTGTACCTCTGTTTGTATATGTGTATTATGACAAGTAGGTCTGTGAGCCGTCTCCCCGTCGTAACCCATTGTGCGATCCACGGCCTTGCTCCGACGTCCCGTAATAACCAAAGCTCTGTTTACTGTACAATAAAATTTAACTTGCTAGCTATTTCTATTAAAGACTGCTACTTCTATTAAAAGGATCATAGCGGTCCTGTTCAGTTCCGTGTTATGAGGTTAACGTTCATATTTGGTGGAAATCTTTCGTTTGATAGTCAGGTTTTCTTAATATTTATGTTTATGATAAAATTTATTGGGTAGCAATAAAAGGAGTATTGTACTTACTTAACATGGCTGGTACGATAGTTC